CAGTCACTTTAGAGCATGCCTTGTACCGGTTAAATTGCTTACATCACCCAAATGATCTCACTTGTATATTACCAACATGAAGCAAGGGAAAATACACTCTTGAACTATTCGAAATTATCAAGATTTCTCTCTCAAGTGTGCTGCCATCTTTGACCGACTTCAAGAACAAAGCCACAATAGAACGAAGGACCAGTCTCTAGCAATGTGTTACCATATGTCCTTAGTTTTGTTGTACCTTTGTTAGAGTGATCTATTTGTAATTCCTACTCAGCTTAGCTTGAAGCATTCTGTAGGAATTTGTTTGTAAAATCATAAACCTTGTGTTTGTGTTTTGGCTAGAGTTAGTCAAAGTGTGAGATTTGTATTAGAGTTATTACAAAGAGGCTTGTAATAGAGTTATTACAAGTAGGTGAGACATTAAGATGTTAATTCCTAGATTGCAAGAGTTTGTAATCTAAAGTTTGCTCAGTTAGTGAAGTTGAAATCCTACTAGTGTAGGTCGTAGTTTCTAATCCCGTGAGCTGGGAGTTTTCCGAGTAAGACTCTGCTGTGTCATTTACTTATCGCTCTATGTGTGTGTGTTTCTGTGAAAACTGATAGAGAACCAGGTTCTCTATACAGTTTGGTGGACCCTAAGTTTCTATCAATTAGTATCAGAGCGGGTACTTTCTATCAAGCTAACACCTAGAAAGGACCCTCATGGTTGCTCCACCAAACTTTGAAGAAGGCCATTCAACCTACAGAACACCAAGATTCAGTGGACAATACTACGGATGGTGGAAGACAAGGATACATGATTATATCATGGCTGAAGATTCAGAGCTCTAGGATGTTATCTGCGATGGACCCTTCGTCCCTATGAAGACCATTTACGAGCTAGCAGTGACAGTTCCAAAGACAAGGAAGGAGTACAACGATGCTGACCGCAAAGCTATAGAGAAGAACTTCCGAGCAAAAAAGATCCTCGTCTGTGGTATTGGACCAGACGAATATAATAGGATTTCTACCTGTCAGTTTACCAAGAAGATCTGGGAAGCTCTCCAAACAGCACACGAAGGAACAACTCAAGTCAAGCAGTCAAAGATCGACATGCTCACCACTGAGTATGAACTCTTCAAGATGAAGGATGATGAGTCCATTCATAACATGCACACTCGATTCACCTCCATCATCAATGAGCTTCACTCCCTAGGAGAGATCATTCCAAGGAACAAATTTGTCAGGAAAATACTTAGTGTTTTACCTGGTTCCTAGGAAAGCAAAGTCAATGCCATCACGGAGGCAAAGGATCTGCAAAAGTTGACTATTGTGAACTCATCGGAAATCTCAAGACTTATGAAACGAAGAAAAAGAAGGACCATGAAAGAAGAGAACTCAAAAGTGAGAAGAACCTGGTCCTCCAAGCGGACAACAATGACTCAAGTGGCGAGGATACTGACATGGAAAAAGATTTCAGAAAATAGTGCACAGAAATGGAGGCATTTCAAAAAGAGGTAGCTCCAGCTGACCAAAAGGCTATGACTTGTATCATAAGTGTGGTAAATCAGGACATTTCATCAAAGATTGTTCTTTACACAAGCAAGATCAGTACAGGCACAATACAAATAAAATAGCCAAGAGGAACTTGCTGGTTCCTGACAGGAGATTCAAGAGAAAAGATGCCGCTCATAATATTGTGAAACAAGCTCTTGCTGCATAGAGAGATTACTCCAATGAATCTGAAGGAGATGATGAACAAGGTGACACCTCCATGATGGCCATTGGAAGCGAAGCAGCTGAATATGACTCTATCTTTGCCCTGATGGCAAAATCTGATGAGGATGAAGATGATGATGACGATGAGGTAAACTTTCTGGACGTTCAAAGAAATTTGAAGTCTTACTCTCAAAAGAAGCTTATATCCTTGGCAAACGTTCTAACTGATGCTTATCATAATCTCATCAATGACAAAAATGTGTTAACTGTAGAACTGGGAGAGGTAGAACATGAGAGAGATGATCTAGTAGTCGTGGTGGTTAATTTAAAAGAAACCATTGAGGATTTAAAGAAAGAAAAGGATGCTCTAGATGAGAAAATTGAAAATGTAGAGCATGAGAGAGATGACCTGTTGGTCGTAGTTGTGGATCTAAAAGAAACAATTGAGGAATTAAAAAGGGAAAATAGTTCTGTGAACACCCAAAAGGGAAAGGAAGTTGCAAATGAGGCACACTTTAAGCTTGAAAATGAGCGCAAAATGGTTAAATCTAGTCTGTGCGCCGAACTTGAAAGAAACAGACAACTTGAGAAAGATCTAGCTAGAGTTAAAAATGACTTAGAAAAATCTCTAAAGTGGACCTGGTCCTCTGATGCAATCACTGCCATGTACAAAAACAATGGGTTGAATATGCAGAGAATCAGGTTCCAAAAGGAAAAGACTCCCTACAACCCACGTAGCAAGTATGTTACTGTCCCTGATAATTGCCTTTGCACTCACTGTGGTAACACCAGGCATATTAAAGAAACCTATAAAGCTGGATTTCAGTCCTAGCAGAGAAACAAAGTTTTTGTTGAAAAAGTAACTACTGCTAAAGGACATGTTCCCTCTAATAAAAAAATGTGTGATGCATGCTTGGACCAGAAGAAGTTTAATTCACCATTTTCCTCACTACAAGGGGACCCAAACTTGTTTGGGTTCCTAAATCTAATCCTTGATTTCCTTATGTAGGGAGCAGTGAAAGGAATCATCCAAAGATGGTATTGGATAGTGGCTGCTTTAAGCATATGATTGGAAGCACCGATGATTTCCTTTCACTCAAAGCCCTGCAAGGTGGGAGTGTGTCCTTTGGACATGGCAAAAAGGGATACATTCTGGGAGTAGGAAGAGTTAGAAAGACACTCACTCATTGAATTGAAAATGTGTACTATGTGAATGGTTTAAAATATAGCCTACTGAGTGTCTCTCAAATTTGCGACAAAGGAAATAAAGTGGAATTCTTATCAAAGACTTGCACTGTTACAAATCTTGTAACTGGTGAAGTGGTTCTGTTGGCAAAAGATACAAAAATATCTATGTTGCTGATTTTGAGTCTTTGAACAATGGGGATCTTACATGCTTCAGTGGTGTTGATGATGATGCTGAGCTGTGGCACAAAAGATTGGGACATGCAAGCTTTTCGTTGCCGAACAAGTTCGTCAAGAAGGACCTGGTTCGTGGTCTGCCGAAGTCAAGATTCAAAGATCACAAGTTGTGTGATGCATTCATATGAGGAAAGCAAGTCAGGTCCTCCTTCAAGCCCAAAAAGGAAGCAAGCACCTCAAGGCCACTTGATCTCCTCCATATGGATCTGTATGGACCTATGAGGGTGCCAAGTAGAGGAGGAAAGAAGAACATTTTCGTCATAGTAGATGACTACTCTAGATTCACATGGACCTTGTTCCTCATAACCAAGGATGAAACTTTTCCAATGTTTACAGCCTTTGTGAAGCAGATTCAAGTGAAGATGAGCCACAATGTTGTGAGTATAAGACCTGATCACGGCATAGAGTTCGACAATGCAAAATTTGACGAATTCTATGCTGAAAATGGTATGAGTCATAATTTTTTAGCTCCCAGAACACCCCAACAAAATAGTGTTGTGGAGAGGAAAAATAGGACTCTTGAAGACATGACAAGAACTATGCTAATTGATAGTAGTGTTGCAAAAGTTTTGGGCGGAGGCAGTCAACACTGCGTGCTATTTAGTGAACAGGTGCATGATTAGGTTTCTCTTGAACAAGACCCCGTATGAATTGCTGAATGGGAGGAAACGCAAGCTAACTCACTTAAGAACCTTTGGCTGCAAATGTTTCGTTCTTAATAATGGCAAGGAAGCGCAAGAAAATTTTGATGCCAAGAGTGATGAAGGAATCTTTCTTGGTTATTCATCACAAAGCAAAGCATACAAGGTCTACAACGAAAGGACTCAATGTGTTGAAGAAAGCATACATGTGATCTTTGATGAATCATACCACTCATGTGGGAAAGATCTACATGATAAGGTTGATCAAGACGCAGAGCAATCAAAGGTGCTTGGAGAAGTCATTGGTATGGCAAATGGAAAGGCTGACATGATGAGTCAAGTCAAGGAACTCAACGAAGAAGATACAGCAAAATCTCCAGCAGTTTTAGAGGAACCTGGTTCCTCTATCACAACAGCTGAAGTAGAGAACAGAGTTGTTGATGCCGTGCAAGGAACCCCTGCTGAACTAAGAAGTGGCACTCACTCCTCCATTAACGCCAACGATGGATCCCATTCCTGGGTCTTCTCACGATGAGATTCAGGTGTCTAACTGGAAGCACAAAAGTTTACACCCTTTCCAAAATGTGATCACTCCTCTTGAATCAAGGATTCAAACCAGATCAAAGTCAAGAAGTTCACTTGCCTTCTCAGCTTTCCTTTCTCAAGTTGAGCCCAAAAATATCAAGGAAGCATTGAAAGATGCTGATTGGATTACTGCTATGCATGATGAACTCCATCAATTTGAGAGGAACAGTGTATAGCACCCACTTCCTCGACCCCCCAGACAGAACTATTATAGGAACTAGGTGGGTGATCAGAAACAAGCTTGATGAATTTGGGAATACAACAAGGAACAAGGACATGTTAGTAGTGCAAGGCTACAATCAAGAAGAAGGGATCGACTATGATGAGACTTTTGCCCCAATTGCTCAAATGGAAGCCATCAGAATCCTCATTGCCTTTGCTTCTCATATGGAATTCAAATGGATGTCAAAAGTGCATTTCTGAATGGATATTTATAGGAACAAGTCTTCATCAAACAACCACCTGGTTTTGAGTGTCATGAGCATCCTGCACATGTATTCAAACTTTTGTTTTTGGTGGAAAATAAATCTTTATTCATCAACCAAAACCAAACATACATATTTTATCATTTTCCTGCTTCTATTCTATCTTTCTAGCTTTCTCTATCTCATCTGTACGTTCATTTTCATGTACTGTTTCTATACATTTCTTTCCTTTCTAGCTATAGAGTGACTCTATCCATCTTGTTCCTTTCATATTCTTCTTCTTCTGTACAACTTCCATACTCCTGTGTTTGCATGTATGTTGAACCTGCTTCAGCATTACTTGTGGTCTTTGCACTTTTCCTTTCCATACAGCTTCATTTCTTGCTCTCCATATTTGGTAGATTACTGCTGCCAGAACTGATCTTGTGAATGCTCTCCCTATTCTTCCATTAGCTTTTCTTGCCATCCTTTTCCATATCCCATTCACCTTAGTGTTCTTTATATTCATGCCTAGCCATTTGCAGACTTCCTTTAAGCACATCTTAGAGAATGTGCATTCAAAGTATAGGTGATCTATTGTTTCTGTATTCCTTCCACACAGCATACAGTCACTATCTTCTGTTATTTTCATTCTCATTGTTCTGTCTTTTGTGAGCAGTTTCCTTTGCATTACTAGCCAGCAAATGAAACTGTGTTTAGGGATATTCATTTTATTCCACACCTCTCTGCTCCATGCCCATTGTTCCAGTTCCCCTCTTCTCTAGTGGTATCCACTCTTGACTGTGTATTTTCCTGCATTTGCTTGCCATCCATTTCCTGTATACCCTGCAGCATATATATTCCTTATTGAGCATATTTTCCTCCAATACCAGCTGCTGTCTTGAGAAGGATTATGTTGCCACCAGTCCTCTCCCTTCAGGTATATATGGTTGATCCATTTGACCCACAGTGTATCTTCTTTGTTTGCTATATGCCATACATACTTAGCTATAGCAGCTTCCTTCCATATGATGCACTCCCTTATTCCTAATCCTCCTCTTTTAGGTCTACATACCAGGTCCCAGGAGACCAATGGCACCTTATTTGATATACCCTTTCCTGCCCATAGGTAGTTCCTGCATATTGCTGTGATGTCCTTAAGCACCTTCTTTGGTAGGATGAAGATTGCTGCCCAGTATGAGTGGATGTTTATTAGCACTGAGTTGATCAACTGGACTCTACCTGCATATGATAGGTTCCTTGACCCCCATGAGTGTATTCTTGCACTAAGTTTGTTGACTAGCATTTCACAATCACCTGCATTCAGTTTCCTTGCAGCTATTGGTACCCCCAAGTATTTAAATGGCAGCTTCCCTTGTGTATAGCCAGTTATTTCACATACCCCATCTAAGCATTGTTTATCCATATTTGCACTATATACATTCGATTTCCCTGCATTAGTACTCAAACCTGATGTTTCTGAGAATGTTTGTAGTCCTCTCAACATTAGCATAATGCTGCTATATTCCCCTTTACAAAACAGTACAAAACAGTACTAATGCATTATGTTGCCACCAGTCCTCTCTCTTCAGGTATATATGGTTGATCCATTTGACCCACAGTGTATCTTCTTTGTTTGCTATATGCCATACATACTTAGCTATAGCAGCTTCTTTCCATATAATGCCTTGTCATGTATTCAAACTTGACAAGGCATTATATGGACTGAAGCAGGCCCCTCGTGCATGGTATGAAAAGTTGTCCAGGTTCCTTCTTGAAAATGGCTTTACAAGAAGAAAAATCGACAACACCCTATTTCTAAAAAATGAGGGAGGAACCTGCTCATTGTGCAAGTCTATGTTGACGACATCATCTTTGGTGCAACAAATGATTTCCTGTGTGAGGAATTTGCAAAGCTTATTGAAAGCGAGCTTGAAATGAGCATGATGGGGGAATTGAATTTTTTCTTAGGGTTGCAAGTTAAGAAAACCTCTAAGGGAACGATGATAAGTCAGCAAAAGTACATTAAAGATATCTTAAAGAGATTTGAGATGGAAAGTTCAAAGACCCTTGATACTCCTATTGCCACTGCTACTCGGCTGGACATGGATGAATCTGGTTCTCCTATGAAGGAAACCATGTACAGAGGTATCATTGGTTCACTCTTGTATCTCACAGCTAGTAGACCTGATATAATATTCAGTGTGGGATTATATGCTAGATTCCAATCTAATCTAAAAGAATCTCATCTGAAAGGTGCCAAGAGGATTCTAAGGTATCTCAAAGGAACGCAGGACTTAGCTCTCTACTATCCTTTAGGAGATAATTTCGACTTAATTGGGTATGCTGATGCTGATTATGCTGGTTATCTAGTGGATAGAAAGAGCACATTTGGCATGGAACATTTTCAAGGGTCGTGTTTGATTTCATTGGGAACAAAGAAACAAAACTCTGTGGCTCTTTCAACTGCAGAAGCTGAGTATAGGGCAGTTGCCTCTTGCTGTGCTCAACTGCTATGGATCAAGCAACAATTGGAGAATTTTGGTGTAATTTCTGATTGTGTGCCATTACTGTGTGATAACAAGAGTTCTCCCAATATGGCAAAGAACCCCGTTCAGCATAAGAGAACAAAGCACATTGATGTGCGACATCATTTTCTCAGAGACAATGTTGAAAAAGGTCTTATCTGCATGAAGTTCTGTAAAACAGAGGACCAAGTAGCAGATATCTTCACCAAAGCACTTATCAGAGATCACTTTGAAAAGAATCAATTGGCATTGGGGTTGATAAAATCAAACTGAGCTCCAGGTCCCTCAATAATAGGCTATGAAAGAATGAACATGTAAAACTGCTAAAAAGTGCAAGTTTTAACTCATCTCTATACCGTTACAAGTAAACATGCATGGAAACTACAGAGAAAACAAGCAGCCAATAGCGTTGCATCTTGGTAAAAGGATGAGGCTCATATTTACAAAACATAAGTCAGGGTTCCCTTGACTAAGGTTAGTATTTCCTTTGTACTCTCATGCATATTTTTAACGGCTATAAAAGTGTGATGTCATTAAGTATTTCTGTCTTTCTCTGTCTCTCTCTCTCTTATCTCTTTAGAACTCAAACGTCACACCTGTTACAAACCGACTCATCTATTCAGTAATTCATACCCGTTTGTAACCAGTCCTTCACCTCCTCTAAATAACCACAAAAGACACCTCTTTCCAACTGTCCACATCAAAACCAAAAATTCCCTTTTCTCTCTCAAAGCAAACTCTCTTCTTCTCGTTTCCTTACTTCTAATCTCCACTATGTCTCAAAATCTAGAAGTTTCAAACGTTTCCTGTGTCGTCCCCACTGTATCTTCATCTCACGAAGCACAGTAGCGAGATTCTGAGTCCCCTCCGTTACCCAGTCAATGCCCCATACCAGATCAACAACCACCTTCTACTTCCTCTTCAACCCAATCGAGTTCTGGTTCTCATCGCAGTCGTAAGACTCAGAACCTCAAAAGATTTGTTGTTGCGACCTCTCCTTCTGCCTCGCCAAAAAAAATGGCAGAAGGCGAAACAGTAGACGGAGATGAGGGACAAGAAGTTTTTAGCCACAAAGTTGGGGAAAGTTTTGAAGCCCAACAAGATATGGCTTGTAGTAGTGAAGGTTCAACAGCGCCCACTCCAAGTTTTGATTTGAATGTTGCCACTCCTACATGTAATGTTCCTCATGCATCTTCTGATTCTATTTTGGAGGTAAATGAGAAAGAAGCCATTGAGTACATGTTACTGATTGCTGTAGAGGGAGGTTTGGTTGGTGGTTATGAGTGTGATAGTGAGACCATTGGGTCTCAGGGGGAAGGTGATAGTCACAAAGTTGAGGGTGGGGAATTGGTGCCCTTTAAAAATTTGGCATCAGTCAGTACTACTGGGGAAACAACAGAAGGACCTGATCTCTCTGCCCAAGAAGAGCACTCTGCTCCTACTTGGGATGAAACCCCTTGCTCCTCAAAAGAGCCCCAGGTCAGTATGGATCCTACTACTTCCCCTCACTTCGACGTTGAGTCGTTGAACTTTATCATTCCTGAGATGCGATCTCTATCTAAAGAGGAAAATGAATATAGTGAGGAAGACTTTGACAATGTGACGGTGGCAAGCTTCATTGCTACTAGAAGTGGAAGGGCAGTTTCCAAAGAGCCCACTCTTAAAAGACCCACTACCAGGCTGCAAAACAAGGAAACCCTAGAAACTATTCCGAAGAAAAACAAAGAATAGAAGACAAGGAGGAGGTTGGTGAAAGGGGGAAAACTAGTGAATAAGGAGGAGGTGCCTCCAGCACTTGTTGTTGATGTTGACGATGAAGAGGTGAATGAGGAACCTGCTTTCTTAATTCGTAAATCCTCTAAGAAACATGTGATTCCAAAACCCAAGAGAGAGCCATCTGTGACAACTGTGGAAGTGAAAAATGTTGAGGGAGTGAAGTCTGGTGAAAAATCGTCTGAGAAGTTTGCAAAGCGGAAGAAAAATATGAGAAAGTCTGTGAAGAGGAAGGATGGTGACAACGAGGAACTTGGTTCCTCCAAGAAGTCCAAAGTGAGTGTGTCAAAGGATGAAGGCAAAGAAAACCTTAGAAAGCAGAGAGTGCTATGGGGAAGAACTTTTGCACCTAACATTCTTGACATGTCAGGGATGAGACAATTGGTTGAAATCTGTGAGTTTCAAAAGTGGACACATTTGTTCACCAATGAGAGCCCCAAGGTATATGAGGAAGAGGTGCGTAGCTTCTACGTAGATATGTTTATAGTGGAAGATGATAAGATTTGCTTGAAGGTCAATGGAGTAGATTTTGTGATGGACGAGGTTGTGCTAGGAAATATTTTGGGAGTGCCTACTGAAGGAATTTCAACCATTGAGGGGACCTGTTCCTCTAATTTCAGAAGTGCCATTCTAAAGGATGATGTTGTGCAATAGGGGGAACGGGTGCACAAGAAGGCCCTCCTTCTAGTGTATCAACTTCTGTTTGAGATGGTGAATAAGGTCTTGCTTCCACATGCATAAAGGCATTCTATTACTTCAAAAGTAGACCTATTTCTCATGGAAGCACTGGATGCTTACACCACCATCAATCTGCCTGGTCTTATGATTGAGTATATGAAGATAAGGGTAGACTTCACGGACGGCAATCATGGCTTGCCCTATGGGTTCCTTCTCACTAAAGTGTTTAACTTCTTCAAGGTCCCCTTGGGAAGTGAAACAGTGGGAACTCGCAAGCAAACTTTCTCAAAGACCATGTATGCGAGTGTATAGATAAGAAAGGGGGTATTGGCAGCAATTTCACCATCTCTTAATTGATTGATGCTCAGAATGCTGCAAATGAGGAGATAAGGAGGTTGAAGGCGCAAAATGCCATTCTTGAAGGGCAACTTAGTCTAGCCCAGGAGGCACCTGGTTCCAGCAGTGCACAAGGCACAGAGGTTGCTTGCCTGACCAAAAAAATGCAGATCTCAGGAAATAGGTCGAGGACCTGAAAGAGCGGTTGCTTAACGAACAAGTGTCTGCAAATGCTCGAACGGATATTCTTCTCAGAACCCTTGCCTCCGCATCCCTGCCTCCCTCTCCCACTGCCCTTTAAAACAATCCTTTCCCGGTGTCCAGTTGAATGATGTCTGTCCTACCTTAGTCGTTCCTTTGTCTGTTTCTATGACTGGTACTTTTAAGTTGTTTTTTTGTGAATGGTTGTTTAACT